TACTCCTGCGAGGTCGTTAAATCTGATTCGAAGAGGTCTCACCGGCAGAAGAATGGGGCCGACTCATATTTTTGCTACGTCTGTGGACTTTTCAGACGATAGTAGATCTGTTCTTCAAACCCCTGTCCTCATCCACAATGTGTGTGTGAACGTGAGCAACTGCATCGCTGATGGCATCCGACAAAAAGAGCCGAATGCATTCCTTACTAGACGAAACGGGGCGAAATCGATAACCTCTGAATTCTAGCCAGAACATACTTGCTGCACCGCCTCTTCCTCTCCCTCTCTCCCGCACACACACACTACTCTCTTTCTGGAATTTTCTTTTTTTGGATCTTTCAGGTCGCCATTGTTATTCGGGCAAGTCGTTCCGTTAAATGTGAAGACCCAGTCCTAGCTTTTTTCCCACTCCAACTTTCCACCTATTTTATGTTGACTTGGCGACTTTAACAGTCGCTAGCTGCGGCAGCAGCAGCGTAATGCTGATGCGAATCTCCTCCGACAGACAAAAGACATTCCTGCGCCCTGGGCACACAGTCCCGAAACTCTGCGTGACCGACGTAAAATGCGTCTGACGTTCTGCTTCTGATCCGATCAACTGGCCGCCTCCGCAGGCGTCGCATAATATTCACAGCGCTCGACTTAAATAAGCAGGACGCGGAATATAGCGTAATTTTTCTGAATTTTATGTTCACCGGGTTAGGCTTAGGGCTACTGTCATGATTTGTTGTGGGTTTCGGGTGAGGTTTAGTGTTTAGTTTAGGACTAGCTTTAGATTCATAATTACGTTAAGTATTAGGTTTAGTTTTGAGGTTACGGTTGGGTTTATCGTTAAGTTCAGGGTATTGCTGCTGCGCGTGTCCTGTCAGCCGAGTCGTTTTGCGGAGATTCTAGGCTTCCTTCAATCTCACGGCAGATTTGCCATACGTCAGGTCGCCTTTTCCGTTTCAGCCTCAACTACTTTCTCCACTAACGGTTTCAGTACCCTCCTTCGGCTTGCTTTACTTCCAATGCCCACATTGGGCTTACACTTGGGACCAGGACAGCGTAATCGACCTTTGCTAAAACAACCCAACCACGGAGAAATGCAAGCTCTGCCCTGCCCCGTGATTGGGCCCGATTGATAAATTCGGAAGTAATTTGAGACTGTTCGGTCTACAGAATGGAACTGTTGTACAACGGTCTAGATCTGATCTTTTTTCTTCATTAGAGTCGTAAAGCAACGTCGGTCGAATATACATGTGCTGTTTACTGTCGATGGCAATCAGTTGGGAACCGAGCCGCCTCCCACTTGCTTGGTGTATAAAATCCTGGTCAGGGGGTGTGGTGGTACGCCTAGGCGTGGGTTTTCGCTGTACCTACAACCTTCAGACTCTCTAGCCTTCTTGACTCTGCCTTGACACTGGATCCCGGTGAGGGAGGAAGTGGAAATGCCGTAGATGCTGTGCGAGTCTACTATCACTGTAAACTAGTTTACGCGCAAGTCACCATCCTTGCTTCGCTCTCCAGTGGAGCAAACGATGAACATCGTCGGTAACGATGGTCGAACTGTTGTCCACGGCAGTCACGGTAGAAGGAGAGCGAGCTTGTTGTTCTCTTCGTGTGCATCCCTCCAAACCCGCTTGATCCTCTTCATGAATCCGGAATCTGAACCCTCGAGTACAGAGAAAGGAGCGAGGAGAAGTTGGTAAACTCTCCTTTGAGGTTTCCCCTTTGGCAAATGTATCAGCTTAACGGAGGCATCTGTGATATATGGGGTGCTTGAGACAGTCTTACTAATGTCACATGCATACAAATCGCAGCGTGAGGTCAGACCTCATCATGTTTTGCAGCAATTTGTGCTGGGAGTCGGTGAAATTGCTGAACCTAACATCCAGTAGCCATAGTATGGTCATTTGGAAGGAGCTCTCTACAACATATATTCTCCTAAATGAACGATTATTCACCGGCTACCGTATATGGGGTGTAAACATCTCGCGACATCCCCTGTTAGATACCATCTATAAGTTTGCTCAACAAGTTCCATTATGTTGAAATTTAATTACTTTCATCGATCAGCAGTCTAACACCCACACATTCGGACAAACTCGCAGCAGGTGACAATCGCCTAAGTGGAAAACAATTTGATTAATGGTTCTTTGGCTGACAATCTACCGGAAAACGCTGCGATTTTCCCCTTCCCATGTGGCGTACGTAGATGGACTAGGCAGAGTAAGTACTCACCCAAACGTGCAAAAAACTTGCCATTTTTCAGAGGCGAAGTAGAGTCACAAAATGATTAAATAAATAACCTCTTGACTTCCAAAACTGAGATTAAGGCACTGGAATTGCTAAACCCAATTTGGCTGCTGAAGCACCAGGAATGGCAATACTGAAGCTCGAAAAGCCGCTGTGAGAAAAGATATAAGTCGGAAGCTGCGGCGCATCGGGCGGGAAAACTTCGCAGAGATAAGCTTAGAATGCAAGGGATGGGCAATGTCATCTATAATACGACCAGCAAATTGCCTGACCGTATTGAAATGTCGTTGTAGGATAGTATCGACCAAAAAAGATAAGAAACACCAGCGGCAGAAGAAGCATTCAAAGGACTCGTTTTAAAATTAAAAAAATCTTTTTTGAGCAAATCAGGAAAAATGACAGGAGAGCAGTACAGGCTAAGAGGAAGAATGCAGGCATCGATGAATAAGCAGACTAAGAGTCGAGGTGTGTGGTAGGAACGTAAATGACGAATGTAATAAAGAATTTTACTAATTTTAGTAAATAGGGACTCAATGTGCAGAGAAAATCAAGATGTTATGACAAAGTAACGCCAAGGTACCTGAGAGAGGATACCTCATTAGGAAGGATGTTAGAGGATTCAGGACTAGGAGAGGGCCGCAGTCGGAAAATACACTGAACTGATTTTTGATTCTTCATTAGGAGACCATTTCCCTCCGCCCATACTAGGACTAGGTTCAGGTCATCCTTTAGAGACTAGAGGTGTGTCTGACTCTTGAGAGGGTGTCCAACAACCACATCATCAGCATACTTAACCAAAAGGCAGTCGCTAGGGGATCTTAGGTCGTCCCTGTGGAAGGAGAAAAGGTGAGGGGATATAATGGAACCTCGAAGAACTCCGCAGCCACTGGGAAGGACCATAGATTTCCGCTTGCCAGATTGGACAGTGCTGAAAGTAAAATAATCGCTAAGCCAAGAGACGACCCAGCCTGGAGAGCCGCATGCGGATGTTTTGATCATAAGAAGAGAGCGCGGGACGGTAGTGAAGGCGGAGGAATAGTCAAAAAAGCACAAGCGTACTCGCAGCAAACCTTTTCTAATTCTTTTAGAGCAGAGTGGACCACAAGAGCAACAGCATCTAAAGTACTGCGTTTGGCTTTATATACAAATTGTAGAGGGTTGGAAATACTGGAAGAAAATGGCCTTATAATATCTAGGGCAACTCTTTCATCAAGCTTTAGTAGTGCGGAGGAGCGGGCAATTGGATGAAAAGATTTTGGACCAAAAGTAGCGTTTATTTAGGGATAAGAGTGATTCTTACTTTACGCCAGGCGTCGGGAAGCTTGGACTCCATGAATGACGTGTTAACAAGGTGCGTTAAAATAGGGGCTATCTGAGAACAAAAAGATTAAAGAAGAAAAGACAAGACACCATCCGGTCCGGCAGCTGTTGATGCACTGACTTTTTTAAGGTGTTTCTCTACTGTTGCCACAGACAGGGGTTGGAAGGCACATGGTTATAAGAGAGTGCCATCTGAGGGAAGATGGGAGTCATTATGACTAAATATAAAATTTTCATTTAAGGAGTCTAAATCAGCATCCACATGTACCAGTGAGTTGCGATGGTCAGTGAGACGCTTAAGATTCTTCCAAATTTCAGCAGAGGAAGGAGGGAAAATAGGGAAGAAGGAAGAGGTAAAAAGTTGACTAACAAGCAGGTTATTTAGCCTGTCAGTCTCTGTTTTTATTAAGACAATAACGTCCTTAAGGCTGTCACGTAAGTCTTGCTTGTAAAGGAGTTCTTTTTTTCTTGAGAATTTGAGATAGGTGGAAGAAATTATATCCGGTCGTAACATTACAGTATTAAGAAGACAGCAAATATCAAAATTTCATTTAAAATGCGGTTAGGTTGGAAGAACAAGATTAAATATTCGATTGTTTAAGGAAAGCGGGGATAGTATAAGAGATGCAAGTCTGAAGTAGGCGAATGCTTTATGCGGACGTGTTACGAAGCTTAACCTTTCTCTTAGGTTTGGCTAGCAGTGCACGTTTAGAGGTGGAATAGATTTTCAGGAGACCCAGTAAAATACAATGATCAGAATCTAACAATGGAGCCCTATTTTTAACACGGAAAACTTGCTGTGGTTGGTCAGGGTGTGATCAATAACGACATCTGCACGAGTATTGAAGGAGACAAAATCATCGAAGCCTAAAAGTGTGAGAGGATGTAAATGCACGCGGTCAAAATCACTGCATAAGAGAATAAGATATTTGCAGGACAATATGGAAAGTTTTTGTGAAATAAAGTCGAAAAAACTGATTAGAACACCTTCACAGGAAGAGGGGGGAATGTAAATACTAACAAATATAATGATTTTAAAATTACTTAACAAACGGGTCTTACATAGAACACCGATGTTATCTATCAAATCAACAGAGTAAGAAATTAAGGACTTGCAGTCTCTACACTAATTTTGATTAACAAAAATGGCAACGCCCCCACCTCTGCCACAAGATAAAGATTTTCTATCTGCTCGAAAGCAGTGGAAGGATGGAGGAGTAATAAGTTGTAAATCAGTGTTACCACTTAACCGCGTCTCTTGAAGGCAAACCACTTCAAGCATGTAGTCTCCAAACAAATTTATTCAGCGTTTCAACCGTTACCATCTGTTCCTACTTTTTTCGGTAATTCGTCCGAATGCGAATCTGAAGTTATGGACGAAGAAAGTTCTTGTTTTGTCGATCGGGTCTACTTGTTCTCGAATACCCCCTCGAGCTCACCTCTCAATCATCATCATCATCATCATCATCATCATCATCATCATCATCATCATCATCATCATCATCATCATCATCATCATCATCATCATCATCATCATCATCATCATCATCATCATCATCATCATCATCATCATCATCATCATCATCATCATCATCATCATCATCACCACCACCACCACCACCATCATCATCATCATCACCATCACCATCATCATCGCCGATACAAGCGAATGTGCGAGTTCCAGGACCTAATTGATATGAAGCTATCACTTGAATAGGAGCTTTATTTGCCTGACGTTTCGGATTCACACCTGAGCCCGTCATCAAAGACAGTGATAGAAATAGGTGATTCGTGGACAGGAAGTTGCAGTATCTATAGGATATAGTCGCTATGCTACCGCATATCTACAGTAATTAACCGCGCTCGCCTTCATCAAGAATTGTTGCCCGCTGGTGTGCTAATTGCTTAATGGCCGACATGCAAGTTGTTTATTGCTGAAAGCTCATCACCCGTGCTGGATGCTGGCGTGATGATTGCTCGGCCGTCTGGCTCACCGGCTTGCGCGCTTCCCGAGTGGTCAATTGCTTTGGCCAGCCTTTGCCTCAGCACGAACTATGGAGTGGGAATGTCGTTGCACTTGTCGATAGACTGGGGCCCCGTGAACCATGACTCAAGCAACTTGCGGACCACGCAATTATCCCCTCTCGCGAGAATTTCGGCCTCATCGAACTTGAGTGTGTGGCCGGGTCTCGTCGGATGGGCCGCGGTCTGAGATTTGGCGTCATTTCTCCGCACCGCTGCCGCGTGTTCGGCAATTCACGTTCGGAGCAGTCTTCCAGTTTCTCCGACGTAGTTGCTTTGACCGCAACTGCACCAGATCCGGTAAAGAACTCCAGATGTTCCTTGCCGTGGCAGTGGGTCTTTTGGTCTCATCACCTGGCGCCTTATGGTGGCCTCCGGAAGCGATATCTGAGTGGGATGAAAAAGGCCTGCGCTTGTCTTTTAAGATCTGACTCAATAGGTTTGAGCTTCAAATCTCACGGTTGAAAGCTGCTTTTCATATAAATCTTTCCCCGTCCCCAGCCATTCACAAAAGTTGAATCAAAATACAACAGAAAACGGTAGCTGAGCCTTTCGAATCATCTTAACTTCAAGGTGGAAGTGACTTAGTAAACGCAAATCTCATAAGGTTGTTAGGGTTGTTGTGTACATTTGCTACGATGCGCTAGAAGCCCATCCGTTATGGCATGCACGGGCTGTATTGTGCCCGGGGATCCTTTGATCGGAGTGTTCTCAGAAAACATCCAAGGACACACGAGGTGTTAGTGGTGCCTCATTAGCATATCGTCACGCTCCCGCTGCATGCGTAATGAACCAGATCAACCATCAGTATGCGAAGGGTCATCACTCAACTTCGAGGAGTGGGCGGAAATTTGCTGTAACTTATAGAAGCAAGAAAAATGCGGCAAGATTGCTTGAATAGGACGTCCTAAGGGCCTGGCTGGAATTATCTCTCAAGCCTATTATCAACGAGGACAGTAGCATCAAATAACAAAAGCCTAAGAGTTGTGGTATTCATAGAATGAAGTTGCTACGTTATCACACGCATACACGACAACGACGACATCGCCAACCCAACGGAGCGGTTGCAACAACAGCGACCTTACTTCGGTGATAAAGCAATGTTGAGACAATCGGGGATAGTGCGGGCTCAGTGGTTGACAGGGATAAGTACCAGGCTGCTGTAATGGTGTGTGGAGTGGAATGCCAAGGCGCGGGCTCAACCGGGCCATCAACCCGCACCCTCCCCCACCTCCGGTCTTCTTGACTCTGTTTTGACATCGGGTCCAAGTGGGAAGCGGGAAAGAGAGAGGGTGGTAGATGCTGCGCAATTCACCGTGCCTGCTCTCAGCTCGCTGTGTAGCATACAATACACATAGTTGGAAACGACGGTTGAACTGTTGTCGGTCTGTCCGCTCTATGTTGAATGTCCGAGCCTCTCAATTGGGGACCAGACCGCGCGTAACCCACTTCGATTGGGCGTGTAGAAAGGTAAATGAGGCAAGAGGGCGAGAGAGTGCGATAGATCCTACGCAAGCCTTCCCTACAACAAGCTAATTTGCGCACTAATCGCCGCTGCTGCACTCGCTTCGTGGGGCACGCGGTAGACATCGCCGATTTTGATGGTCGAAATTTTGATCTTGTCCTCCAATCAAAATGCGTAATTATGTGGGTTAAGCGTTCCCCTTCTGGTACTGACAGACCAAGCAATTCTGTAATTACTATACTAATCGGAAACCCGGGGTGGATTAGCGACAACAAGTTGCCCAAATTTGGACGATCAAGCAACCATTGCGTCAGGTCTGAACATCTAAGACAATTGTGGGTGAGGTTAGGGAGCAGGTGTATTTCATAAGACTGCACGTCCATTTCGTAAGCCGGTTTTTTCCTTTGGCGTCGCCGATGATGTCTTCGAGGGGGAAGCTGAAACGTTAGGTAAGCAACATTCCTGTTCCGGCGACCGAACCTCCTTCATAACTAACAGGACTTTCCAGAAACTGCAAAGGAGTCCCAAGGCCTATTGACAGACTGGAGATTTTGGTCTTTTTTCGCAAAGCCCACAAAAGGTGTTTGTAAACAGAACTGAAGCTTGTGATGGAAGTACTACAAATAGATTTTGGCAGTTCGTAGTCTCGTGGATGTTTACTATCAAACTCACAAACCCTCCTGGCGTTTTCACCATCGAGCCCCTAGTTAACTAGTAGAGCATTTGCATAGGACTTTTGTGATTAACTGCTAGCGGAATCGATCGGCCGAGAAAGCGAACAATTTTGATCGATTTCCAGGTTGGTACATAATGAAATTATTGGGCTTTCGCAATGTTTGTCCTCCTGGCCTAAAAACGATCAATTATGATCAACTTGCGGGGTTGCGGTTTATCTGCTGCTGGGAGGTAATGCTTTCCGCAGCCAAACATCAGTGCATACTGCTCAAATTAGCAATTATCTCCTCGTTGTAGTCTCCACACCACCACTCCTTTCGAAAAGCCTGTCTCCTCCAGCACAATGTTAGACGGTATTCCCATTTTCATCTCGTTATCTCACTGCCTGCCTGTGTGCCTCCAGTCGCTTCGCGATTTTCAAATAAAGGTCACTTAAGATGTAAGCAGTGCGGGAATCATTCTCCCCTCGCATTTAGTCCCCAGTGGAGGTTAACGCATTTCTGCCTATTTTTTTAGCTGTGAAAGAATAAACGGTAAGGTGTGGTTATGTAGCCTCACCTGACGGACACAATGCTGTTGGGGCTAGGGTTAGGGGGTTAGGGCTAGGGGTTATGGTTAGGGGTTAGGGCAACGATTTCTCAACTACTCAAAGTACAACCGCGCATTCCCAATAGCTTTTCTTTCGCATACAGCTACTTGACCTCATCGTCTGTGCGTTCCCGGCCCTACCTGTAAAAACTCCTATTACCACCGGTCCCGTATTACAGGTGGCTAGAGTTTGTCCACTTCAGGTGGGGCTACATAACCGCATCTGACCGAATAAACTAATAGGACATCTAGTTGAAAATTTGGAACACGCGGTTACGTGGTCTGCCATCTTTCTCCCCTGCGATCGGTAGGAGTGAGCGTGCTCAGAAGACTAGATATAATTTTTGTTTTTAAACCAAACAGGTCCTTCCACTCCAAAAAATGTTCCCCGGAAAATATTATACAGTTATCGGATCTATAAAAGGTACCATGAACGATGGAGACCTAGCTAGGATATATAAATATGTTTTTCTCCGGAAACTATAAGTTTCATGAGGTTTTAAATCTGTTCATTATGGAGTATAACTCCAAACTGTCTCATACCTGCCTGCTCGACGACTTGTATTCAGATTTTTTTCAACCCCGTGAGGTATTTAGATCAGTAAAAGTCGCAGTACAAATGACCATAATTTTGCTACTGATGTTAAGCGCTTCTATGTATTTAATTGCACTTTCTAGAAGATAGGCCAACCTTATCCGCAGAAATTGCAGCTAGTAACTGATCTCATGAACAGTAAATCGTAATTCTAAAATATATGTTCTACCAGGAAGAATTATCTAAGTGGAGTTGCGATAACAATTGCCTTGTGGCATAAACGCAGAATATTTCCGACATGCCGGGATGTCGGCTTTCGAATGGACTTCTTTTCAGGCGCCCGCAAAAGGCGCACTTGGTAAAAATGACTGCTTAATTAGTTTTTTAAGTTTATTTTCCACTGTGTTGTAAACCCCGATTGTATTTTACGGAAAACACTAAGTAAACATATTTTTTATTCTCGTTCAGTATGAAATATTGTCTTCTTTAAATTTTAGGCTCAAAGAAAGGGTCAACCACGTTTTTATAAAAGCTTGCATTTATGGGGTTTTTAAACCGTGCGATGTCCACTCAAGTAGCGTCATGTCTGTCTATTACTCAATACTACTTATAAAGTATGCAGTTTAATCTGCATCTAATGCGACATTTTGTGAGTTCTATATGGTATCTTAATGGCACGAAAGAATCTCTGCTATTTCGTACTCGGAAAACGTATAACCATCGGTTGAAACCCTTAAAGCAAATTCAACGGCATATCGAGCCCAAAATTATTCGTGAAGTGAAAAACTCACTAAAACCTAGAGATGCTTCATCTGCGAGTGCGTAATTTAAACAAGAGACGATTTCCTGCCGTGGTTTGGTTCTGCAGCTCCACCTGAGTGAAATCATATGGTAAGTTTTCCAAAAATTCAAGTAGATGCAAGTATGCTGACTTTACAAATATCACGTATTTACATGTTCCTCAACTTTTTAACCCAGTGGGTGAATGTGTCGCGGGGGAAGAAGTGTTCGTACGCCAGCTGCGGTTACTCCAGTTGTCAGTTTACATGCACTTCCCTGTGTGTGCTTCAAGCCCTACTTGGACCATCTTTATTTTCTAAATCCAGCGAGTGGTCGAGCAGACTTGCTAACGGAATTTATCGGATTGTGTGGAACTCCGTCACTTCCACTTCAGTGACCATGAACTACGAATTACCACGCGGTTCCCTTGCGTGATTGCTGACTGTATATTTCATATTGACGATAACCGGTCGCTAACTAAGGTTTCGTATAGATAAAACAAAAGTGCCCTGAAATGACTCGGATATTAGGGTCGCTCTAGTGTAGTGGATTTTGGGGTGCCGACGATGACAACTGGATCCGAAATGGTCATCGTCGATAGAAGCGAATAGGCGAGTTGCAGAAAGCAGATCAGAAGAAGAAGATCGATCGCTGGAACAAGAGTTTTAGTGATCTGAATTCTCGGGTTTCCTCTTGAAACGCACATCGAAGGCAGTCGCAAAAATGTTAAATCTTGGCGGAAAGATTATTTAGCAGGTTGGATCACTGTCACAGAAACTCTCGGTCGCCCGCGTCCTCCTAGCGTGGCTGCTGATTTTGCTTAGTCTAAATCGCAGCACAGAAAATGGAGATGGGAGGTCACTGTGCTTGTTAATTGAATGCGCGCCGAAGGACCATGACGCAAGCACCTCCTACGAAAACTTCAGCCTAGTCTTACTTAAAGATATGGATGGGTCCCACCGAATGGGACGCGACCTGGGATCTAGCGCCATCTCACCTCATTGCTGCTGCATGATGGCGCATTCGCGTTCGGAACGATCATTCGGTTTCTCCGATACAATTGCTTTGTCCACAACTGCATCAGATCTGGTAAACGGCTCAAGGTGTCTCCTGTCATGGCAGCCTCATGTACAACTCTAACTTCGAGTTGTGTGAGAAGGCGGCTAACGGCTTCCGAGACGAATGAGAGTGCCAGCCAAAATCTGGGGCTGGTTGACTATTGTCTGTCGTCGCGTTCTCGCCAGCACCGGTCGACAAATTTGTGGGGTAACCATTCGTCCCATGCAACCGTCAAAGATACTGCCTTCAGATTAGCTGCAATGCGGTTCAACACGCCGGCATAGCGTCTTTACGTAATTACATTTGTGGCTGATGTGATGGCGGCCGTTTAAGATCGGTACCTGCGTCGTATTGATTGCGTTTATGGACACTACAGTTTTCAGGCCATCACGATTTCTGCGGTAGATGGGAGCATCAAGGAAAACTAACTGACTGTTGTCCTCCTTCTCCATCGTAACTTCTATGACCGGAAAGATGGCGCTGAGATATTCCTTGGATGCTACCACCTGATCCCGTTAGATGACAACAAGGATGTCATCCGAATACCGAGTCCAGAATTTCGGTTTGTGGCGTCGGAAGACCAGTGGCTTAAACCGTCGCGGTACCGCCTCAGCTATAATAGCCGAAATCTCTGCACCCACCGATGAGCCTTTCACCTGCCCGTAGATTGTTCCGTCGAACTTGAAGTACGTCTAGGAACAGAACTTCAGGAGTTAAAGGATTTCAGCATTTCGCAGGCGACTTTTCGTTTCATCGTATTTGTTCTGCAGGAGTGTTTTGACGGTTTCGACTGCCAGATCCTAGGGAATTGAAGCAGTAAGGGACGTGACATTAAGAGATATCATGACATCTTCTGGAAGAAGATTCCTTTTTTAAGTTTCTCCAAGAATTCTGTTAGCGAGTTGACTATGGTGCACTCTTAACTTTTACTCAAATCCACTGCTTAATTTTCTAAACCTCATATGGCCTCCTCTTAATACCGTAGAGAAATGTATGCAATATTGTTAACTTTACAAGCCACATTCGTAAATGCAGATACATGACGTTTCATGAACGGCCATTTAACGGTATTAAAAAAATCTCACAATTAGAAACTTTTTTATAGCCGACTTATACTCGTTTTTGAGTATGAAATTGGAAGAAGACGTGATTTTTTACAGAATAAGTAAAAGAATGAATATTTTTATGCATGTTTTCCATGAAATATAATTGAATTTTCAAGGGCATCGAAAATCAGTGAGAAAATTACATGCTACTTAAGTAGTCATTTTTTGCAGAGTATAGATCTTGCATGCAGCCAAAAATAAGTTTTTTTGAAAGCCGACACCCTGAGGTAACTGGATCATTGTAGATTTATGCTGCATCATGATCAGTTTTACAATACTACTTAGTTTATCTTTTTTAAACGAGAACGTATTTCGAAATTTTGGTTGACATTTCATGAGTTACCACATCTACTGTATAAACCAGAAATTGTCATTCCAATGTCCCTGCATAAATCTCGATTTTTAACGCTTCCATAATGAATAGGAGACGGCTAAATAATTAGCCCGACCAATAAGATAGCATCCCAGCGTTACCAAAATATAGGACCACGCGAAAAAGTCATATCCTGTCTCCGGAAAGTTCACTGACTGTGATATTTGCTCATCGTCATCCTTTCAACCCAAGAAACCTGCAGTACAGTGATGTTATCGGCTGCCACCTGTGTACTCGAGCAGTGAAATAATCTAATAATCTAATTTTTCTCCTATGCAGGTCAGAAGAAATGTCTCGAAAGGCCAAGGAGGTTGGAGTGCTTTTTTGACTAGTCGTCATCATCGAGCATTGGAAACTTGAGATTGAAAGCCCGATCAGCTGTTCATCAAAAGTTCAACCAATTGATTTGCCGGTCCAAGTTTGCAATCGAGACCAGTAGAAGTTCCGAGGAAGTTTTGTTCCCAAGCCATGACACCACCATTCCGTTTTCTTTTTTTATTTTCTGCATTACTATTGCCTTAATGCGCACAGAAAAGTTGGTTCTTTGCGGTCTATCGTTATTCCAGGCGGTTGATCCAGTAGTGACTGGCTTGCAGAAATTTGCTTGTAGTGAAACAGACTTGCGAGGCACTTACTTGACTATCTCTTATACACTTGCAATACCAGGCCAGGGCGACCGACGAAACCAAAAAAATCGTCTACCTGTGCCACACACGGCCTGCTCTCAAACACATGTGCTAGGTCAAGCTAAGGGTTGACCGACTTTCGCATGGATAAGGACGCCACAGATAACACATTGAGAAGCAACCAGTGCAGCCCGTCAATCCCCCTGTCACTCCAAAAATATTCCCATGAGGGTTAAGTTACCCAGGCAGTTGAAAACCCTTAAAGCCATGATTCTGGCTCGTCGTCATTGATTCAGGCGTTCCGGACTTACAGTAGATGTGCTAACTCATGAAATGTCAACCAAAATTTCGAACTGCGTTCTCCTTTCGAAAAGATAAATTAAGTAGTGTTGTAAAACTAATCATGATGCAGCATAAATCTATAATGATCCAGTTACCTCAGGGTGTCGGCTTTCGAAAGAACTTATTTTCGGCTGCATGCAAGATCTATACTCTGCAAAAAATGACTACTTATGTAGCATGCAATTTTTTCATTGATTTTTGATGCCCGTGAAAATTCAATTATATTTCATGGAAAACATGCATATAAATATTCATTCTTTCACTTATTCGGTAGAAAATCGCGTCTTTTTCCGATTTTATACTCGAAAGAAGGGTATAATTCGGTTTTAAAAAAGTTTCTAATTGTGCGATTTTTTAATACCGTTAAATGGCCGTTCATGAAACGTCATGTATCTGCATTTACGAATGTGACTTGCAAAGTTAACAATATTGCTCAAATCCACTGCTTAATTTTATGAACCTCATATGGTCTCCTCTTAACACCGTAGAGAAGTGCATGCAATAAATGACTGTCGGCGTCAGTCAAACGGCTGGTGATAGGAACACATGACACTCTGGCTACCGTGAATGTCAGTATTCTCAGCAGGGCGGGCGCAGTACCGGTACCTGGCTAAGGAATTAGTTTATGGTGGTAGGAGACTTGTGCTGAATCTAGTGCACTCCCTTCCCCTCCACTTGTGACCCGCCTCAGGATAGAGTCAAGAAGGTCGGAGGAGGGATCCGGTGCAGTGACTCACCAAGCTGAACGGTTCCTCTGCGCGTGTCACACACGCCTGAGTTGCGTAAAATGGACCAGTTTTACGTATAAACAAAAAAGTGATGGCCCGCATGTCAGAGGGGGCGGAAATGCCACTGAAACCTTACCCTACCAGTTGGCAACCTTCCATGCCTCGGCCTTTGGCGCAGCATAACTGTTTAGAGGGACATCATATTGCTTATAACGAGAAACATGCTTTGAGTGGAGTAGAGACGAAGTCGCCGGAGTCGACATTTCTCTCTCTCTTCCCTCCCCCGCGCACCAGTTCGTTGTTTGAGCGGGAATTGGGTGCGAGTGGTTGGCAAGGCTAGACAGTCTACCTACGCGTGCCGCACACGAGCTGGCTTCCAATACAACACACCCATTGTTCACACAGGGGGAGCCGGGCGGTCTGAACTCCACACGCATGCGAGCGATGGAAACGCACAGATATCCCTTTCAAAAATCCGGGCGAGACTAGGAAGGCAGTATTCAATCGGACGGAAAATACGCGCGTCCACATAGCGCCTAAATAATTTTGACAAACTTAAAGGGGATTGGGAAATCTGCCCAGAGTACACCAGTTTACATCTCGAATTAAAGGTGGGTTCAATCCCATGAGGCCAGGAGAGATTAGGCGATGAATTAACATCGGCATATCGAATTGGCTGCATTCACAGGAGGAGGACTTAAACCACACCAGCTTAAAGAAAAAAATTTTGCAACAGTCAAGTAATGTTTTACCACAGATTAAAACTATGACACAGGGGCTCTTACTTATCAGTATTGGCAGGGCATCAGAGTACTTATCGAGGTTTCACCTCTTCACTGCCAAGAACAACTTCTGGCAGGTGACTCTACCGTCTTCAAGTGGCAAAGCACACTTGATGAGAGGCTGCATTGGCAGATCTTTACCAAAAGACAGAATAGAAACTAGAGAAGATAAGGGCTCACTATGACTGAAGGATTTTACCTTTCCCAAGGTCGTGCATCTTTATGAATTTAAATTATATTCGCTCGTGTCTGGTGGTGGAAATTCTTCTGTTCTAAAACTGAATGATTGAGCGCATGGGAGTGCATGCGCGTTTCCTTGAATCGCGACTGAGCAATGCTCGTGAGTTTGTTTAGTTGACTCCAGCAAAACTAAAGTATAGTCACCCTCTCCCTGAAATTTCTGCTCACATAGCTCCTACTTACTATGTCTAGGTAGACTCCGTCTTTGGTTATCGGCCTCATTTATAATACGTTCGACCGTGTGATGATTGCATTCATTCCCCTGAACTACAATCATTTCGTCGATAGTTAACTGTTTTTTTTTGAGAATAATATGTTTGAAAGTACATTCACCTTACTTTCATAGTTAGTGATAGAAAGCGAAATAAGCCAAAGAAAAAGAAGATATAATAAAGATCTGCTTCTATCAATAAGGTATAATATTTTATCGGAATTACATAGGGGTATACGGGCAGGTTCACAAATTTAGTAAAACGGGGTTTTGTAGAATCTGTGCAGTTTGGGAAGGTGTGCTTTCATATGCAATGACATTAGACTGGGGGGGGGGAGGTCGCTTCTGTTGATACCGTCATCTAATAAATTAGAAACAGCTCTTAACAATGACATTAGCTTGGTGTTGGGGGGTTTCCATGTTTACGAGATACAAGACAGTTTGACAGTACGCCTGGGTGGGGTGGCTGCATCTAAATCTTGTTGGCGCCGGCTAAAAAAACTCATGAGTACTGCCTTAAGTTACATTCGAAACGCCCTATGTGCTCTCGGGCAAAGTTCTGATCCCGTTAACTCTGACGGCCGACAGTTGATATAGTTTGCCGTTTCCTGGTTCCTTTTTTAACCGAGTTTGACCATTAGTTATTAACGCCAGTGTCCTTGACCTCGTGTTTGTCGGCGGCGTCGAAGAAGGCAGTTGCCACTTATTCCGTTGATTTTCACCCGCAGACTCAAACATTCTAGACTGCCGCATGTAAAGGAAAATTTTTAAGCATTTCCTGATGAAATTCTGGAGGGGAATGTCATATGATTGCCTATTTGGCCAGTAGCTGACCGGCTAAAACAAATCTCTGCATTTTCATGCTATCTTTGAAATCGTACGCTGCCTTTTTTAACAAAAAGTCCACCGTCTTTTGACCATAGTAGCCTCAGAGCAAAACGTCGCCAGAAATGATCTAGAGGCGAGGGAAATCTGATTGTTGGCCTAGACCCGAGTCATCCGCCTTTCGTTAGCTGACAGGAGTAGACCACTCCCTGCAAAAAATAAGGGATTGGCATTCCGGGACTCCGGAGAATGCAAGAAAACCATTTCTATCCGCCATTCATCTTTTTAGTTAGGCAATTGGTCTGTATGCACGCTTAATGAATAAGAGATGAATGCGTAGGACCCAGACGTCTACGCGCGGAAAAGCCCAATTCAGGCTTGCGTGTAACTTGGCCAATAGCACGCCCACCGCTGACCGAGCCGACTCCTGTTATCTGCATCAGCGGTTTCCCACATGGCTGCTATGGTAAGACCACACTTCGTTGACTGCAAAATGCCGACGTTGATTTCCTCACATCTTATTCTCTCGCACAGATTCTAATATCTGACCCCGTAGAAACCCAGACAGTTCCTCATTGCGTTCGTGGCCATATATCTCTTACCTACCAACCACGCACGCTGTCAAGCTGACGACTGAAGTATTCGGTTGGAACTAATATTCACTCCGCTCTCATTCTAGACACTGAACATCAAAAACGATACTCACTGATATATGCGGTAGAAAATAATCCTCAAGTGCTTCCAATAGAAAACGTCCCTTAATTTTGATGAAAAATGAGGAGCTAAATTGTTTTAAAACTTCCATCGTGTTGCTAATCGCTGTCTAGGGAAGTGGTACTGCAAATGAATACACAAATTGAAATCCGATGGCGATAATTTTGGGAGAATAACGAGGTGCAGTATTTTACCCTGACAACCTCCTGTAGTTAATCGTTAGCAAAATTATAGTGTGGAGGCAGAGAGTGTCGTATTGTAAGGTGATTCTTTCCTTTGTTTAAATCAGCCTTTGAACGGCGAGACTGTTGGTAATACAGAAGTTCAACCGTGGATTTCGAGGATGTCCACCTTGTGGTCCACAGCAAGGTGAGAGTAAGGACGACTTGCGCTGCATCTACAACGCTCTCTTCCGCTCTCCACCAGGATGCTGTTTAGAGACAGAGTCAATAAGGCAGCAAGTGGAGGGGGCGATAGCGGTTGGCATGGCCTAAACCCGCACTTAGGCATACCATCATACTCCCTGATCTACAAAAAATACTTGACCAGGATTTTAACAAACGACAACGACAACCACAGGGGGCGACATGGATCCAAATTGGCGTGCATGGACCTGCAACTGGACCTGCCACCACACCCCGAACTGCGCGCATACCCGATAACGCCTACTGGACCCTGACCTAGTCCCCGTGTTGGTCCAGAGCATTTACCGCGTGGCCCATTTTAGGGGGGCATTTTAGTAATAACACAAGTGCTGACAGGCTTATAATTATCTAACAGTTTGCAGTGCATGACGCCTTGGATATCCCACCATGCACTCAGCGGGATCCATTTAAGATCAAGACCTTATCTTGGTTCCTGAACTGGTCGGTACCCACAACTGATCGTCTAACGATGATGTCCAGCACCGTGGTTAGAAATACAGTAGGTGGGCTAATTCATGAAATGTCAACCGAAATTCCGAAAAGCGTTTTCGTCTAGAAAAGATTAATTAAGTATGGTTATAAAACTAGTCAATATGCAACATAATTTTATAATATTTCAGTTACCTCAGGATGCCGGCTTGGAATGAACTTCCTTCCGACCGTATGCAAAAACTACACTCTGTAAAAAAATACTTCTTAAGCAGCACGAATTTTTATCACTGATTTTCGATGCCCCTAACAGTGCTATTATATTTCATGGAAAACATGAATCAAAATATTAATTTATTTGGTCATTCGGTAGAAAACTACGTCATCTCCTAATTTTATGTTCAAAAGAGGGACATAATTCGGTTTTGAGAAGTTTTCCAATTCCCGAATAATTGTGAACCCGCTCTTCCGTCACACTTGAATTCAAGATTTCCGAACTACAAGCCGTATATTTTCCTCATATGAAAAAACACACATTCCTCTACGGCAATAAAGGTAGGCCATATAGGGTTCATAAAATTAAGCAGTGGATTTGATCTATATTGTTAACTTTACAAGCAACATTGGTCAATACAAAGATATGACGATTTATAAACGCCGTTTAACCGTATTTGAAAGTCCCACAATTATAAACTTTTTTGAAACAGAATTGTGTTCCTCTTTCGAGCATAAAATTAAAAAAAACGTAATTATCGACCGAATGAGCAAAAGAATAAATATTTTTGTGCATGCTTCGCATGAAATATAATTGGACTTTTAGGGGCACCGAAAATCAATAAGAAAAATTCATGCTGCTTAAGTAGTCATTTTTTACAAAGTGTAGTTTTTGCATGCTGCCGGAAGGGAGTTCGTTTGAAAGCCGGCATCATGAGGCAACTGAAATATTATATAATGATAAAGTAGGCTGACTAGTTTTACAACGCTACTTAATAAATCTTTCCGAGACGAAAACGCATTTCGGAATTTCGGTTGACATTGCATGATTTAATCCACCCACTGTATATTTTTGCTCCTGGCAGCAATCCTGTTTAGTAGTTTCGTGTAAGCAAAGACTCACAACGGGTGTCGCGTCGTTGGTCTTCCTCTTCAGGCAGCTCATGCGGTAGCACCCCATAAAGCAAAACACGTTTAATATTGCATTCATTTGATCTTGATATGGAATTAAGCCTGCAATAAATTTCATTAAAAAGTTTGCGTAACCAGGGGTAAACATTAATAAGAAGGCTAATATTACGCATCATAGACAGGTAATATTTTAATAAACCCGTTTTTTCCTTTCGTTACTCGGCACCTCAGTTGCAAAAGCCCTTCCGGAAACTTAACAATTGCTAAGGGTGGGGGTGCTGTTTTAATAATTTTTGTCTTGCCAATGCCCGCTAGATCAAATTGTGCTTACGAATTTACATGCACTTGCGGATGGAAGTTCACTGGGCGAGCGCAAAGGCAGTTGACAGTCAGGTGTATTTGGCACCTGCCCAGATGGCTTCTCAAGCAAGAAAACGAAATCCCGCGTTCCCCTATTACAAAACACCTGCTTGCTAGTGGTCACTCCGTCGACCCTAATGCATCCTTCTGAGTACTTGTTCGGGAACGAAAAACTCGGACATTGCGTTACCTGGAGGCAGCCTATATTTGACAGGTGAGACCAGATCTTTGCAAGCGGTTAGAAGATGTGGTTAGCGTAACTTTGCAATGGCAGCCTTTAGCTCCATGATTTTCACCTCCCTTTTCTTTTCGCTCCTTGACGCTTATTTCCACTATTTTTCCCATACTGTGTTTGAGTTACTAATTTTATCGATTAGCGGGCATTGCCCAAAACTATGGCCTTGTTGTTTCTGCATTGATTTGCTGCACGAATTTAAACCGCTGTATTCATCTCACTCGTTATCTATGTTATGAAGCGACAGGATGCAGCTGACGAACCGTCGCGAGATTTTTTGGTATCAATACATCCTGCCTTGCATACTTGCTTCGGCTTCGTGCCGGAAACAAAATGTTTCAAAGCCGCTTTAGCATCTACAGTAAAAAATGGATATAACTTTCGCCTCAACTTGATAAAACAACCGCCTGTCGATGGCCCTTCTTCTGCTTTGAGTGCGTTCACAGCTCCATCTAGCGTTCTATTATTAGTCTGCCCCCCTAATCGTGCCCGAAACCGTTTCAGGCGCGTCAAAGTATAAGAACGCAGTCTGCCTAATAGCTGCAAGTAGTGATTTTCAGCAATTATGTGACCATTAAGGCCCCCCCTATTCCGATCTCGTCCGGATGCCCGGTGCACAGAAATACAGAAAAATTACGCTGCATTCCGCGTTCTGCTTATTTAAGTCGAGCGCTGTGAATATTATGCGACGCCTGCGGAGGCGGCCAATTGATCGGAACAGAAGCAGCAAGTCGGACGCATTCTACGTCGGTCACGCAGAGTTTTGGGACTGTGTGCCCAGGTCGCAGGAATGTCTTTTGTCTGCCGGAGGAGATTCGCACCAGCATTGCGCTGCTGCTGCTGCTGCTGCTAGCGACTGTTAAAGTCGCCAAGCCAACGTAAAACAGGTGGAACGTTGGAGTGGGAAAAAAGCGAAAACTGATTGAGGCAAAAAAGCCACAAAGGATGACTGGGGCTTCACATTTAACAGAACGACTTGCCGGAATGGCGCTGGCGACCTGAAAAATGCAAAATAAAAATTCCAGAGGGCGAGAGAATGGTGTGTGTGTGAGGGCGAGTAATAGGCGGTGCAACAAGTATGCTGTGGTCAGAATTCAGAGGTTATTGGTTTTACCCTGTTTCCTCTAGTAAGTAATGCAGTCGGCTCTTTTTGTCGGAGGCGGTCAGAGAAGCAGGTGCCTACGTCCACACACACAGAGATTTGTAGAACAGATCTGCTATCGTCTGCAAAGTCCACATACGTACAAAAATATGAGTTGGCCTCATTCTTCTGCCGGCGAGACCTCTTCGAATCAGATTTAGCGACCTCGCAGGAGAACATCTTGTAAGTAAAAGTAAGAGTAAGTTAAAGGCATTACCAAAGATCAGTTTGCTAACTGCATCACCCTCATGGCAACATTCTCACTGTGCGCAATGTTATTTAAAGAAAGGGGCAAGGTTCAGTTACGCTTTGCTGGTTCCAAGTGTAAGCGCAGTGTGGACGATGAACGTGAAGTAAACCGAAAGGGGATGCTGAAATCGTTGATGGGACAAGTGGCCGAGGTCGAAACAGACAAATCTGCCGCCAGATTGAAGGAAGCCTATAATACCCGCAAAGGACCTGGCTGACAGGACACGCGGGGCAGCGATACACCAAACATGACGTTTTACCTAACCGTAACCTCAAATGTAAACCTAATCCTTAACGTAATTACAAATCTAACGCTGACCATGGATGATTGACAAATCTGCCGCAAAATTAAAGCAGGCCCAGAATTCCCGCAAAAGACCTGGCTGTCAGGACACTCGGGGCAGCGATACCCCAAACATGACGATAAAACTAATCGCAACCTCAAATGTAAACTCAATCCTTAACGTAATTATAAATCTAACGCTAGCCATAAACCTAGCCCTAACCGTAAGCTTAACCTTAACCCTGACCCCAAATCCCAACTCCCAACTTAACCCTAATCCAAACCCTAAGTCCTACCTTAACCACAACCCTAACCTTAACTTTAATGTTACCCTAACCCTTACACTATCAGTAACCTCAAACCTAACACTGAACGCAAACCCAAACTGCAATCGAAACCATTAAACCTGACACAAACCTCACCCTAAACCCAATTCTTAGCCTGACACTAACCCAAACCTTAAAAATAACCGTACCTCTAAAACGAAACATCTGGTTGCCCTTTTCCGTTTTAGCCTTGGCGGGTTTCCACTAACCAGTTCAGCATCCTCCTTCGGCTTACTTTACTGACATTGTGCTTGCACCTGAGACTAGAATAGCGTAACCAACCCCTACCAACTAAGGGGTCCAATACTTACAAATACTGAATGACTTATCCTACCATCAGCACAAATGACAGCTAAAAGACCTGACACGCGTGTTTCACTAGCCTTATGCCGTTGCAGGATGCAGATGCAAGGGCTTCCGTTCATCGAATATTTCTGGTATATTTCTAGCATATATTCTAGTTGATAGTGCTACCCTTTTTGATTTCCTCAAAAATTAGTTCGTGAATGTGAAGAAAATACTTTAAAAAGCTTTTGAGGCCTGGTCCAAAGGTTGGAAGGAATACTTGTACTGAAATCATTCAGCTGCTATGTAATAACCGCGTAATATTCAAAAACTACTAAAAGACAGCCGATCTGTCCTGAAAAATAACAGACTGACGTCACTTGCGGCATTTATTGCGCCAGCTGTTCCCACGTGTATTTTGGTTATAATTGTCGACGTGTGTGGGCTTTCATTAATAAATACAAACAGACTGTCCGTCGGCGGAACCCTCTGCCCCGTCTCCGCGCATACTCTCGAAAGCGATCACTGACTCCGTCCGTACGCCATTGAAGTGGTCGCCATGGTCAATGCCAGTCAGCTTTGGGGATTTCTCGGGCCTTCTTCTCTAACAGGATATGCGATTGGAAGCCGAGTTCCCTGATCATCGGGCGTTGCTAGGACAGTGATCCCCATTTACATGTAAGGTTGGTCGTTTGGGTCTGCTTCTGAAACCTATAGATTAAGCCTCAAGGTACAACGGAACGAGTTTGTCCCGTAAAACGATCAGTGAGCCCATTTTTGATATACTATACAGTACCTGTGCTAACTCATGAAATGTCATGAATTAACACAGATTAACGACTTTAACGCAGAATCGGTAAACACAACGGCTCCCAAAGTCTGATAGCGGAAAATAAAAGACGTGTCAAAGAAATAAAGCAAAGTTTGGTTTAGAAAATATTATTTACTGAGATAAAAATAAATAATTTTCGAAAAAATTCACATTTTCGAGAAACGCCTATATTACAACCAAGTTAATAAAGTCTACGTATGAGGGCGTATAAAGGAGGAGGACGCATAAAAGGGTAAAAATAATTAAGGACAGAAACAGTTACAAAAAATCAGTACTTTGTTGAATGTCCATTTGAATTAATAACGGCAGAAAGTCTGTCAGACATAGACATGACGAGGTTATCTATGGTGGATTGTAAAATGTAATTATTGAGTATAAAATCCAATTCTTCCTGCATTGAAAGAGTCTCCTTAACTTTGTGCCAATTTCTTTTGACTATTTCAAAAAGATTTTCGATAGGATTCAAATCGGAACTGTTGGCCGGGATGAAAATGGTTTGGAGGCCAATTGCAGAGACGGTGGTTGTTGTCTAAAATGTTAGATTATATTTGCAAGCGGCATCAAATTCGTACCTCTCTAGAGCGGTGGACAGGTGCATTGTCGTGCAAAATTACAGTATCCATTCGGCGCCGACTTATGCCGTTGTAGCCGAAAGCATCCTTGACAATTGCAATAAACACCTTGCTGTTGATGGTGCCGGATGTTGACCGCTAGGCAGGCCGCTCACCGAATTTAATCGCCATCCAAACCATCATCCGCCGACAGTTCTTGAATGTTGCCGTCGGTGTACTGTGTTCTCTTGGGAAGTTCTTTCCACATATGACGGTTTGGAGCGGTTTTGTAGGCTTGTCTAAAAGTAAAACCTCATCGCAGAATAAAGTGCTCTTTTGAAATGAAGATCTGTAATCAATATAATTCTTAGCAAATAAAAGCCGTTCTCTAATCAATTTTCTACTTAAATATGGCTTAATCATGGCCTTCCGCCGCTGCAGTTCAAATTCCTTCATCCTTTTCCTAATGGTGTTCATAGAAAACATCGGCAGATGTTCCCGTTGAATGGTCCCAATGGACATATAATGAAACTTTTTTAATGTACGACGAATAAAATCGTCGTCTTGCTTACTTGTGGACCGTTTGGGTCACCCTATCTTATTTCTAGGAACAGTTTTATCATTAATAATGCGCCACAGAGTGACCTTACTAATATTGAAAATACTAGCTAACGACTCATACGGGCTTCCCTCCGCCGCTAATTTTCTAATCCGCTGGAAGTCAACTTCGGACAAGTATTGTTTAGACATGGGTATCGTTTGGCGTGATAGAGAAAAGTGACGGCATGTCGCGCGAACTCAATATATATTCTTTTACGATACGCATTTTCGGTCTGGTAAAACAATCAAACTGACAAAAATTTTTATTTCGGTATTTTGAAACATAAAACTTTACGGATTTGTAAAATAGAATTTTTAGATGAAGAATGGCACCTTATTTCCTGAACAAAATAAGAAATAATTTATCTGCATTTCCCTGATTTTCTTGATATTGAAATTTAATTTTTTATTTTTGTACGAAAGTTTATTAAAAACTTTCTTCCTTTCATTAATCTTCTTAAACAGATTAATAAGGTGAAACAAAGAATTTCGATCCGAAATCTTTATTAGCGTAGGAAACTGCATGAATATCAGGAATCCTCCGATTTCGCCCAAATTCAGCCCGTTTTCTAATTAATATACAGATCCGTATCAAACTTTCCTTCAGCAAACGGCCTTTTTGTCCTTATTTCAACTAAATAAACACAAATCACAACACCAAAAATACGCTACAGTTTCCACTATAATTTTGACCTCGGCATTTCATGAGTTAGCACAGGTACTGTACATATGCACATAGTGGCGCTGAAAGGCACGCCTACGGGCCGGCTAAATGGCTCGTCAAGCATTCAAAGAGGCTGACGGACGGCTCAAAGCATACAACCGTATCTGCAACACACTTCTTGGAAAAACTCAAAGGCGTTATAATAGCCCCCCGACGAGATAATGGTATCGTTTGACGTCGTGACTCTATTCACCTCCATACCTAAAGAATTAGCCATAAGTGTTGTCGATGACCAAGTAGAGAGAAGGTACGAAGAAGAGAGAGAAACCCTTTTAAGAGGAAGCACGCGATGAAACTACTGGACTACTGCATACCCACATACTTCACTTTTAATGGGCATATTTGGGAGAAAATCCAGGGAGCCCCAAGGGGATCCCCGATTTCCGGCTACCTGGCTGAAGCGGTCATGCAGGAACTGGAAGCTCGCGTATTTCAGTCCTACAAGCCGAAGGTTTGGATGTGCTATGTGGATGAAACCTTTGTCATCCTACGTCGAGACGCAAAAAACCTTCTAAAGGAAATTGAACTCAATTTTTCCCCAAATTCCGTTCACAATGGAGGAAAAAATGGGCAAAGAAATCCTTTTTCTGGATGTCCAGGAGTCGAGACAAGAAGACGGAGCCCTCCAGCTTGGTGTCTTTCGAAAGGCGACTGATACGGCAAAAATCCTCCATTACAGCAGTAACCACCCCTTGTCGCATAAGCGCAGTTGCGTGCGGGCACTCTTCCTACGCATCAACACACACTGCAGCACAGAGGATGGAAAGCTGCGAAAGCGTAAATCCCTATGTCGTCTTTTTCTCTCTAATGGGTACCCACGTAGTGTCATAAACAAATGCCTGTATCAAAGGCACACGAAGGCCGACGGTGGACAAAAACAAAAACCTGAAATCTTCCGTGCCTTATCTTACGTGAGTGACGGAGAAAATTCTTTACTGTAACAGCAACTATCCCCTGTCGCATAAACGTAGTTGCCTCCGGACACTTTTTTCGCTTCATCAACACACACTGCAGCACAGAAGTCGAGTAATTTCGGGTGCGTAAAGCCCCTATGGAACCTCTTCCTTGCCAATGTATTTCTTCGAAGCTTTGTAAACAAATGCTTATGCCAAAGAAAAACGAAGACCAACCGTGAACAAGAACAAAGACCTGAGATCTTCCGTGTTCTGCCCTACATGCTAAGACCGCTAAGCGTGAGTGTTGGGCATTGGCCGAAGGTCACTATCCGCCGCTTAGTCAAGCCATTTCGATCAACCGCAGTATCGACATACCAGCGCCATATGAGGCCGTCGGGCTCCATTTTCACGCGAGAGGAGAGCCAGTAAGAATAGAGTGGGATGGACCTATTGGGAGTGACGCCGAAGGACCTATTTGAACCATGCATTTGTCATTTTGTCTACCTCCGATGATGTGTTCGATTACGAGTATGAGACTTCAGATAATTAAGTTTCCCTCCCCAGAGATTGCCTTACCTTCTTCTTCCACACATATATATATGGATATACAGATGCATGCACACTTGAGGTAACACGCGTTCAGAGAGCCTCTAAAGAAATATAGGTGGCCTTCCGGAAAAGTCTCGTTACTCTCGTAAATGGTCTAGCCGTTTAAACAAACACTTCGTCCGCTAAAATTATAGCATAGAACATTTGGAGGCACAGAAGTTATATCGACAGGCAGCCGTATATATGATGGTGTGAATGTAGCGTTGTCATAGGTGCTGGAGGTGGAGAAATGTTTAGGTATTTTGTTTACGGTTAGTTCCGTTAAAGAGGGAATGGCGAATTTTTGAGAAAGAATAGCAGTACCGACAAGGACAAGGGAGACTGGAATGACCATTTCTGGCTTATCAGCCATCGTCAGCCAGTCATGCCCAGTCCGGAAGTGTGGGACACCTGGGGATCGATCCCGAGACCCGTTAGTTAGAAGTCCAACGCCTCTAACCGCTTTGCCACCGGCTCCTTGCCCCGTCGGTTGCGACCGAGAATATACAATGGTATAGAGGGCGCTCACCCGTTGTGTTGCGAACTCACTCGTCCCATTGTGCCTTGGAGATCTCTTTCGAGCCCCGCCAGCAGCCGCACAGTGACGCGTTATATAGGCAGGATAGTATTACCTCTTGATATTCACAAAGTCTGCCAACAGTTTCGTGTAGCCTGCTTAGAAATTCATTAAAAAACTCGCTCTTTCCGACCAACCTCCTATTTTCCAAACATGTGTATAATTTATCTGGATGTAAAGTTTTCGCTGGTGTTGTTATATTTATTCGTATGCTGAAAGTGCGTTTGCATATCGGGTTCCGGTACATAATCATTCCTTTGTGCATTAGAGCCTGGCCGAGAGCCTTGCAAGCACGAGTAGGCGGGGAGGGGCTTACCGGAAAAGGAAAAGGGAGATTGGGTGGCCATTTCTGCCTCATTCATCATCGTCCGTCAGCCATACCCGAACCTGGGAGCACCTTAAATTCAAACTGACTTTTCTCTAGCCATCAAGCGTTATTGTGCCCAATGCTCTACCATCTGAGTCATGGGCTCGTTGGCCTGTCAATAAAGATCGGGAATATTAATCATGCTGGAGGTGCTTTTGCCGATCGGATTGCAGGACATGCCTACCTCCCTTGTTTTTGAGGCTGGAATAGGGTTCTGCAGAAAGAAATAATATCGATAGAAGAAGTTGATATAAGCACATATGGTAAAACGTGTGCCTGAAAAGACATAAGAAACTGGAATGATCATTTTTGCCCATCAACCGTCACCAGCCATCCCTTCCCAACCGCGGATTTCTGGATCACCTGGGATTCACACTCAGGTTCTTCAGTCGTTGGGTCAAACTATGACCCACTGAACCACGAGCTGGGGCGTCCTGTCGCTTGCGATGTTCAAATATGTTCAAATGCGTATATACGACGGCCAATAAGTCGGAAATTGTCATTCTGTTCCCCCTTGTCCTCGCCAATAGTCTTCTTTCACACGTATATGTGCAGATCGCGATTATCGACCCAGAAACAGGAGACTGAGCCGTAGCCTCCCGGCCTAGTAGCCAACATCAACCAGTCTACGCACTGACAATCAAGCTTTAAAAGGGATTGACTGGAAGCCTATTCCACCCGAATACACAAAAGAATGTGCTTGTTCAGGAGTTCGTTCTGGAACCGTTGAAGGGAGCCACCTGACAATGGTCGATCCAAATCTATCGAACTGGATTGCAAGCATACAGTAGATGTGCTAACTCATGAAATGTCAACCGAAATTTCGAAATGCGTTCTCGTTTTGAAAAGATAAATTAGTAGTGTTGTAAAACTAATCATGATGCAGCATAAATCTATAATGATTCAGTTACCACAGGGTGTCGGCTTTCGAAAGAACTTATTTTCGGCTGCATGCAAGATCTGCAAAAAATGACCACTTATGTAGCATGCAATTTTTCATTGATTTTCGATGCCCTTGAAAATTCAATTATATTTCATGGAAAACATGCATAAAAATAGTCATTATTTTACTTATTCGGTAGAAAATCACGTCTTCTTCCGATTTTATACTCGGAAGAAGATTATATTCGGTTTTAAAAAAGATACTATATGTGAGATTTTTAATACCGTTAAATGGCCGTTCATTAAACGTCACGTATCTGCATTTACGAATGTGGCTTGTAAATTTAACAATATTGCATGCATTTCTCTACGGTGTGAAGAGGAGACCGCATGAGGTTCATAAAATTAAGCAGTTGATTTGAACAATATTGTTAATTTTGCAAACCATAAAAAGGAGAATATTCTCATTTAAAGCCGGTCATTAAGATAAGACTTTAATTTCACCAAAAGTAACTTAAACAAGACTTATTTCGCCTCTACATCGCTTGAGATCTTATCAATAAATTTCCAAGTTTTATACTATTCTATCACTATTCGCTAAGTCGTTTTAAGTTGCGTATTCGCCTCTATTGGGAAACAAAAGTGGCTTCCAGTTTTATAAATTTCCAGACCATCTTAATCGCGCAATATAATATCCAACATATTTTTTCCTCATTCCCAACAAAACAGATGATAAGATGACGCGTAGACTAGCCTTGCGAGTTCCATACACGACGCTTCTAGTATTTCTCCAGCCGGTAGCATAGACGGCGGTTCATATAACGCAACAATGAGGGGGGTGGGGGGAAGGGCGACCAATTGTGTCTGAATTTTTCTTTTTTCATAACCCCTCGCTCACTACAACGCGACTCAACACCCACGACAGTTCGTCCGTCGATTTCGACGATGACCACCGTGTGCCCCACAGACTGCATTGTGGGAGCAGGGACGGTGACTTACGCAGGGGTTTATAGTGCCAGTAGACTTGCGTAGCATCTACCTACACTCTCTCCTCCTCCCCCGCCTGGGCCCGGTGTCAAGACAGAGTCAAGAAGACCGGAGACGGGGGAGGCCGCAGGTGGATGGCCCGGACGGATCATCACCTTGGCGTTCCACCACACCCTCTGGTCCACACAACAATAACCAGGATTTCAACCAACACAACAGAGATTTGGAGGCTGGCACGGCCGAAGCCGCACCTGGGCATGCCGCCAACGCCTGGCTCGGATCCCACACTGTGGTGAGAGTGCCATAAAGGCCACATTAAAAGGAGCCATTGCAGCCTGACTCTCAGACCGCCTCCCGTTAAGGAGGAGGTCCAAGGTATCCCGTCAGTTGGCAACCTTCCAAGCCACGGCTTTTAGCGCACCGTGATAGCTTCAAGCGCGTCAGATTGATTATAGTGAGGAAAATGCGCTGAGTCGTCGACCTCACTCTCCCTTCCCATTCCCACACCCCAGCCACTGTCCGAGCCGGTCAGTAGACTGGAGTGGGGAATGGGCGCGGTGGCTGACATGGTCGACTGACCATGCCTGCGCGCGCCACAGCACGACCTGACCCCCCATACACACAAACACCAGGATTTCACACACCGGGGGTTGGACGGCGTCTCTCTCACTTGCGTGAGAGTGCCGTGGAAGGTGCTGTTGCAGCCCGTCCCCAGTCCACTAGTCCGCCACTACACACAACACACACACAACGTGACGAACTGCGTGAACCGAGAGCGGGCCTCAATCAGCAACCTTCCTATCCACGACGCTTGACGTGTCGGGATAGTCTCGGACACAAGTCACCCGTGCAGCCGAAGCCGCATGGAGACCGAGTCGAGATGCACACTTCCCACTTGCGTGGGAGGCGGCAGTTGAGTGCATGAGGTGTGTGGGGGTTGATGTCCGGTGGGGTGATGGTGTTAGGAGGTAGGGAGTGAGGGAATGTGTGGTGTGACCGGCGGTTGTCTACCGCAAGTCGTCGTGGATGCGCATGTGGCCGAATAGACCCATGCGATGCGTGAAGGTGCGAGGGCAGTGTGGGCAGTGGAGGCGAGTGCGGTGGGTGTAGGTTGGTGCTCCAGGCACTGGTTCGCCAGTCTCTGTGCGATGGATTCGCAAGTGACCGACCAGGCCGATGCGTGAGGTGAAGGTGCGTGGACAATGTGGGCATGAGAGGTTGGCGGTGTCGGTGTCAGCTGTAGAGGAAGCAGTGGTGTTTGTGGTGGTGGTGGTCGACGCGTGTGACGGTGGAGCGAGGGTGGGTCTGGGCGTGGTGGATGTGTTGGATGTCGTGGCTGTATCGGAATTGTGGTCAATTCCGCTCTCGTGGATGCGCATGTGGCCGAATAGACCCATGCGATGCCTGAAGGTGCGAGGGCAGT